CCTCGACCTGCTGGGCTCCGGGGATCCTTCCGCCTCAGCCTTCCAAGCAGCCGGAACTACAAGCACACACTACCACGCCCAGCTCATTTTTGATTTATTGTAGAGATGAAGTCTCGCCAAGTTGCCCAGGGGGTCTTGAACCCGCGGGCTCAGGCAATCCACTCACCTCAGCCTCCCAAAGGCGCAGGATTACAGGCTGAGCCACCCAGCCCGTCTGGGAAGTCCATTTCTAATTTGCCTCTGTGCGTTTTCTGGCCAGATGTGGCCCCACAAGCACATGACTTGGCAAATGGAATCTGAGCTGTGTACAACATATACAGCTGTCACAGCAACCCTGCTATCATGCTCCTGAAAGCAGAAAACTGAAGTCGATTTTTCAATAAATGCCAAACGTGCTACTTCTGGTTCTGAACAAGAATTGCTAGTTAACATTTTTTATAAATATTGTGTGGATTACTAGAAAGAGGCCTAGACCTGCATACAAATAAACATCTCTGGAAAGGCTTTGCTATTTGGGTCAGTTTTCAAGCTATCAGTTGGGCTCTGGTGGGCTGAGACTACCTTCTGAATACCCTCCTCTAAGGGCAAGGGATCCTCATTCACCTTTGGAGGGACACAGTGGTGGTGGGGCGCTCAGCTACTCCTTGGTTGACCTCTGGGCCTGGAAATCCCAGGTGCTTAGCCAACTACAGCAAACCAACATTGGAGAACGCACTCAGGAAGGGAGTGGTGACAGAGAGGCCAGGGCTGTGGGCACCATGCTCACTTCCACAGTGGGGATGAGGGGGCGCAGGATGGGGGGTACGCACACTCCTTTGCAGTGGGCAGGGTGCTCCTCTGCTGAGCCAGAGACCACTGCTTGTAGGTATTGGCCAGGATGTCCAGGGTGATGGCGCCGTGCTTCCCGAGAGAGCTGAGATAGATCACCACATCCTCCACCTCTTGGTTATTCAGAGGGACTCCGGCCTGAGGAGAGAAGAGGCTCCCAAGAGGGACAGGCTCCCTTTCAGAGATCCTGTCCTGGCTGCCAACACCTTCCTACCCCGCACCCCCTTCCATTCCTAGTTTTATCCACAACCATTTCCAAATCATACCCAAGATCCCTGCTGCAGGAGCTCAGAGCCCTTCCCAGTCCCTGAACATACCCCTGCACTTTCTCACCCTCTCTGCCTGAAAAACTCCTATCTCTCCTTCAAAGCCCTGTCCAGATGTCACCATCTTTACAGAGTCGGCTGCTTCTTCCTCTGGGCTTCCACCCCACTTCGTACCAATCTCAGTGTCAGTATTTCCTATGCTGGATACAAAGAATGATTTCATATGTCCATCATCTTTGTCCATGACACATAAAACAACACATAAAACTTCCTTCACTGAAGTAAAATAGGACATGAAATACCATAACCCTTATTTTTTTAAGGACAATAATCAACTCTGGAGGTGTATAATACTTGCTAGCAACACTGAGTATTCAAGGAGAAAAGTTTCAAATGATAGCCAGGCGTGGTGGTGCATGCCTGTGGCTCCAGCTACTTGGAAGGCTGAGAAGGAAGGACCGCCTGAGCCCAGCAGGTCAAGGTTGTGGTGGCCATGAGTGTGACACTGCACTCCAGCCTGGGTAACAGTGAGACTCTGACTCAAAAAAGTTTGTTTGTTTGTTTGTTTTGTTTTGAGTCAGAGTCTCACTTTTGTCATCCAGGTTGGAGTGCAGTGGCATGCTCACTGCCACCCCAGCGTTGACCTGCTGGGCTCTGGCAATAACCTTCTGCCTCAGCCTTCCAAGTAGCTGGAACTACCACACCTGGCTAATATTTTTTTATTTATAGTAGAGATGAAGTCTCACCAAGTTGCCCAGGCTGGTCTTGAACCTACGGGCTCAGGCAATCCATTCACCTCGGCCTCCCAAAATGCTAGGATTACAGGCTGAGCCACCGTGCCCAGCCAAAAAAAGTTTTAAATGAAATACAATTTTGTTCTTCAGTTTCTTTAGACAACAGGCATTGTTCACTGAACTTTCCTTAAGTAAGATCAGAACTCCCCTGGTGCTGGAGGATTTAATATTTTATCTTTTTGGTTATGACGATTAAAGACCCTTTACCTTTTTGTTTTTTTGAAATGCTTTGAAATGTTGTTCACGCCGGGCTCAGTGGCTCAGCCTGTAATCCCGCGCCTTTGGGAGGCTGAGGTGAGTGGATTGCCTGAGCCCGCGAGTTCGAGACCTGCCTGGGCAGCAAGACC